GCTCCCTCCCGCTTCTGTTTATCTTCCCATAGCTGCCCGCAGATTCACGATTCAGCCCTTCCTACCTCGCGCCTGGTGGCGTTTTTCTGCTTGTAGAGATTCAGATGTATCTTCTTACATTTCAGGCTGGTTTCGTGGGTGTTCAGGATGGTTTGGTAGATATCCAGCTCAATTCGGGGGACCAGTGGAAACAAGGTCGCCTACTCCTCCGCCATCTTGCTTCCCTCCTCCCAGTTGCAGATCATTAAATGCCAGTTTATGGTGATGAGGCAAGCTCTTGTTACACCGACACTGGGAGCATCTGTCAGAGGTACTAGAGAGGCAGTCTAGCATTGGCTAGGTTGCACAGGGGTTGTCAAATCTGGCCCTCGTTTCTTTTTGCAAGTCCCAAGAAGTAAGAATGGTTTTTAAATTTTAAAGGAGTTATTTAAAAAAATAAATAAAGATGAATATGTGGTTGGAGACTGTATGTGGCCAGAAAAATCTAAAATATTTACAATCTAATACTTTACAGAAAAAGCTGATGCCTGGGCTAGGATGCATGGAATAGAGGACCTCCAGAGTGCCTTTTGATGTTGGGATTCTGGCTTGTGTCTCTCCTCTGGGTTCAAGAGTCAGGCTCTTCCCCTACTCCTAGCACTCCCTTCCTCAGTCTGATTCCAGAAGTCCTGGCTGGACAGGGTGAGTGTAACCAGTGGGTCTGCCTTGAGTCTGGTTGTGGGTTTGTGGCTGGTTTCAGTGTTACAGACTCCAGGAAATACTGGTGGTTCTTTCTCTCTGCTCCACTTGAAATGTAGCATCCACACAGAAATGCACAAATCATAAATTTATAGCTCTGAAAAAAATTTCGAAGTGTACATCCAGAACAAGAAATGGAGCACCCCCGGAAATCCCATGTCCACTCCCGTTCATTTTCCACAGCAGGCAAGCACTGTCCTCACTTCTTCAGCCGTGAATTCGTTATGTCTTTTTGTGAATTTCACAGAAATGGAACATACAGTGTGTGCTTTTCTGCTTGGCTTCTTTCATTTTACTTAATGTCCAGGAGAGATTCATCCATGCCATTGTATAGAGTCATAAATCCTTCAATCCAATTTGGTACAAATATTCCATTGTGTAAGTAGAGCAGATTTGTTTATCTGTTCTTCTGTTGATGGGCATTTGGGTTGTTTCCAGTGTGGGGCTGTTATGAACAGTGCTCTGAACACCAGAATCTGTCATTTGGTGAACATAAGTATGCAATTTTCTTCTCCCAGGAGTGGAGTTACTGAGCCAGAGGGATACATATGTTTAGTTTTTTTGTACATTTTTTTTTTAAGATTTTATTTATTTTTTTGAGCGAGAGCAAGAGAGAGAGAGAGAGAGAGAAAGCAAGAGCAAGGGGAGAGGTGGATGGAGAGGGATGGAGAGCAGACTCCTTCCTGAGCAGGGAGCCCGATGTGGGACTTGATCCCAGGACCCTGGGATCATGACCTGAGCCAAAGGCAGATGCTTAACCAACTGAGCCACCCAGGTGTCCCAGTTTTTTGTACATCTTACTTAACTATTATTTAAACCTTGGAATTAAGAGTCCCCTGCACTTTGGCCATTGGTCAGAGTTGCCTGGGTGGTGGTGGAGGGGGAATGGGCTCCTTGGAAACCGGTTTTTTGAGTTTTTGAGCTTTTGTTCTCTGGTGGCTTTCAGTGCCTCTTCTGCCTCTTCTGGGGGTCAGAGCAAAAATGGCTGCACCCAAACCTCTGTCCCAGAGCAGAGAAATCAGTCTGCTCTCCTCTGAACCCTCCAGAACACACAGTCTCCGTTTCTGTAAGCGCCGGTGACAACCTGCCGCGCTGTTTCTCAGGCAACCCGGCTTGGTCAGAGTTGCCTGGGTGGTGGTGGAGGGGGAATGGGCTCCTTGGAAACCGGGGTGTGTTGGGCTGGACCAGAGTGGGACCCTGAGGCTGAGTGAGAGGCTGTAACCAGACCACTGGAGTGCTACCCCAGGCCTCTCCTTGCTGGGCATCTCCCCAGAGTAGGCCAGGCCAGCCAGCATGAGATACCAGTCTTCAGGCAGCACACAAACTTAGGGATCTCAGGAGCAGTGTGTTCTTATCTTCAGAGATTTTAGGGGAGACCTCAAGCTCAGCCTGTCCCCCAAATCATTTTTCTCAAGGGGCCTTCTCTTCTCCTTACCTTCTGCCCAGCTAGCCTTTAGAATTGAAGATGATGAGTGCCAGGCCCCTCATCTCCTGATGGGGATAGAGGCTGGATGGAGGACAGGTGATCCAGGACAAGTTCCCCCTGTGTCTTCTCCCCTGGTGCTCAGGCAGAGAAGAGCAGGGAGGCTGTGTGATTAAGAATCCACCTGAGAAAAAAAAAAAGAATCCACCTGAGAGCTCCTGAGAAGAACCTCCCCTCCCCCCCACCCAGTCCCATCTGATTCGTGGTCAGGCAGGGGCCTAACCTGGATGAGAGACACCCCCCCCCCTTGGAGCCTGCAGGATTCTTCCCCTCCCAACCTTCCCAGGCACCCCCCAGCTCCCTCCCACTGGCTGGCTTCTCTGTTTCTTCCCAGGCAAATGCCTCAGGAGGTGGTTGCCAACCTACTCTGCCTTCTCTCTGAGTTGGTGCTGTGAGTGGGAAGTGGATTTTGGTAACAGCCTTCCTTTCCCTTAACTCAGGCCCAGCTTCTCTCCATCCCTGCTGTGATTCGTTGACTCTTTGGGTCTCTCCCTGTCCTGGACTTGCTTTAGCAGATGGCTCCATCAACGTGGCCAGCAAGCAGGCCTGGAGAAGCCTGCCTGAGGGTCAGCCGTTTGGCATAGGGAGCTGGCAGGCTGAATCCCTTCTCTCCTGCTGTTTGCCTTGAGGTGATGCTGTGTGACTCCATTCTGAAACTTGCTATTCAGTTATGTGGCAGCATAGGGACGAGGCTAAAAAGACACCGATGAAACAGCCTGGGTCTTTAGTCCTCTCCTGTGTACATTGGTCTGTGAGCTTCTTCAGGAAGTTAGAGGAGGGGGAAAAAAAAAACGGCCAACCCCGGGTATGGGCCTTCCTGCTGGGCTTTGTTACTGGCCAGACCCTGACTACCTGGACATGTCCTAGAGATAGCCCAGAGCCATGTGCTGTGGGCATCATGGGACCTCAGAGCAAGGATGGCTAGGAGGGCTTCCAGGAGGTGGCTTGAGCACAGGTCTCAGAGAGTTCCTGGAGGCTGTGGGGAGCACAGGCATGGCATTCTGGGACTGGAGCAATGCAGTTACTTGGGGGGACTGAGGCTGCATTGGAGATGGCTTGTAAGAAAGCCTTGTATTTGGGGACACCTGGGTGGCGCAGTTGGTTAAGCATCTGACTCTTGGTTTCGGCTGAGGTTGTGATCTCGGGGTCGTGGGATGGAGCTCTGTGTTGGGCTCTGTGCTCAATGTAGAGTCTGCTTCGAATACTCTCTCCCTCTGCCCCTCCTGCTCATTCTCTCTCTCTCTAAAATAATCTTTAAAAAAAAAAGGCTTGTATTTGGTGGGCATAGAATCTAATATCCTTCACTGAATATTAATTATTAATCAATGCATTTATTCATTTAAAACATCATCACGGCTGGGTTCCAGCCAGGCCACACTGAATTTTGCCCTAAGTATGGTTGGCCTAAAAAAAGTTGTGGTCTGGGACCAGACTCCAGAGGGTTAGCAGGTAAGGTTTGTGTCAGTGTAGGGGTATATCAGGGTGGCCTGAGGACTAGAAGTCTAGTAGCATTCCTCCCACAGGGGAGATGTCCTGGCCTCTGTGAGCGAGAGGATGGTCTGCACGTGGAGATCCCATGGTCATGAGCCAAGGCCAGCCCGGTGTGGGCTGAGAGAGGGAAGCAGTTCCCAGGAGCAGCTAGTGGAAGTAATGTCCTGCTGGGTGAAAAGGCTGCTTTTCCCGCAGGTCTGCATTTTTTTTTTTTTTCAAAGTTGCTGTCCTGCCCCTGCCAGATTTGTAGGCCCCTTTACTGCTTCCAGGGGTACTCAGAGCCCTCCTCATTTGCCCTCCTGCCCCTATCCACTGCTAAGACTGTGGTCGTTATTGGGGGGCACCCAGGGCAACACTTAAGGCTAAGATGAAGTCCCTCTGCATTTGCCTTCTGTCTTCTCACAAGCTTCTCTCCTGGAAAGAGTGCTGAAGAAGGAACCAGGGAGGCAGGCAGGCGTCTGGGCTGGTCCAGCTGGGTCCAGGGCCCCTGTCTTTGGTTGAGATCACTGACCAGCCATTGATTGCTAAGTAGAGAAGCAAAAATGGGGGTGGGAGCAAAGCCTGGGTTAGGGCAGACTGCCATACTTTCTGGGCCTGTTCATCCCTCTGTGAAATTAGACTCAGGACACCCAGGTTCACCTCCCACCTGGCCGTGGGGTGCTGGTTGATCGTGTTCCTTTGCCTCAATTTTTGCAGGTGCACCAGACTTAAACCAATATGTGCTTGGGGTATGGGTGGAAGGTAAGAGAGAGAGGGGGAGAGAGATGCGCTCTGGAGAGCGCAGACATCCTGGACAGGAGGGACTCTAATGTGAGAGGCCAAGGAAGGCAGCATGATGGTGGTGGGGTGTGTGTGTGTGTGTGGGAGTGAGAATGTCAAATTATCAGGGGCTTGTAGAGATGCGTTAGGGTCCCTTTAGGTCTAAAAAGTATTCTATGGTTCCATGGGCAAAACACTGAACTAGCTTGTAAGGGAATACAAAGTAAAGCCGAAGCATTGCTCAGTTTCCAAGATCTCATAATGCAGTTACAGAGCAGATACTCCGTGAAGGTCAGGGTGGCAGTGCCCTTAGCCGCAGGAAGACCAGATTCTGTCAGGGGTGTGAACTGTTCTAGCAGAGGAAGGCACTCAGGAAAGGGGAGAACAGCCTCCCCACCATCTGCTTCTCCACCAATACCCTGGGCCCTCACCCTGCCTCAGGGAAGTTTTGACCATGTGTGCCCTTCCATTGGTGGGGGCCAGACCCACTTTGTGCCCCAACTTTTTTTTTACCGTACCATTAGACAACTGTAAAAATAAAACCTTTATTGTCACAAACCCTTATTAATACAGGTCCACAAGCCCTTACGTGAAACCCTTCGGGCCAGATATATTTAAGAATTTAGAATTCTTTGGGTTTTAGAAAGTGCCAAGGTGCAGATGCTGAACATTACATAACATCTCCAGAGGTTGTCTGGGGTGACACAATGTAACCAAAGACATCAGTACTTCTGTGGAAAATTGTGAAAAGGCCCAATGGCCCACAGGTAGCCTCATTTCACTTCAGGTTGGGTTTTGATGCCAAAATCAGGAAGAAAATTCTGGTTTGGGGTTTTGCATTTTAGAACCGCAGATAAGGGATTGCAGACCTGGACTTACATGCCCATTTCCAGAATGGCACAATGGCGGTTCAATGGTGAGGTGCCCAGACTGGAGCCAGACTTCCTGGCCTCCCTCCTGGCTCCGGCATGAACCAGCCGTAGGACCTTGGGCTTCCATTTCCTTTCCTGTAGCACAGGATTATTAATTCTCCCGCCCAGGTGTGCCATGAGGATTGAACAGCTTAGTACCTGTAAAGTGCTCAGAACCCTGTTTTGTACACATGGATCACGATGGCATTACGAGGAGAGGCAGACAGACATCTAAGACACATTTTCATTTTCAGTACAATCAGATAGTTCGGAGCTCCCTGCTGAGGCCCTTCAGGCCACCAGGGCAGATGAATCTTTTCTTAGTATCACAAATCTTTCACATCCTTGGGCTTGGGGCCTCCCAGGGCTGCAGACAGGAAGGTTTCAGAAGTCCCAGAAGAGGCTCTGTCATACCTTGGGGTCCTCCGGGGGCCCTGCCCTACGAGGGGCCCAGCCTTGTGTCCTTTATGACGGTGGAGTGGTCCCGTTGCTGTGGCTCTGGAGTCCCCTCCCCTTGCACATCAGATGGCCATGAGACTGGAACTGCTTTCTGAATAAATAAAAATGTGTGCTCCCCAGGAGATTCTTGTTCACAAGGGAGATGTGGGGTTTCTGTTCCACTGAAAATTCGGAGGTGAGGCTGGACCTTCCCCAGACACACCCTTAACAAGAATCTTAACAAGCATTTCCACAGGACAAGGTGAAACTCCTCTTTCCCTTACTGTAAAACTTCAAACCATCCAAAAGGACAGGATGGAAAATTCTGACCATATCATTTCCCATCCTTCAGCTCCCCTCAGCTAACAGGCCCCTGGGCAGCCGTCCCTCTGAACTTGTCCTCATCCACAGAAAGATACCACCCACACACAGACCCTCACCCCCTCACACCACACACCTCCTCATACACCCTCACCCCCTACACACCTGCACATACATCATGGACCCCCTCCCCCTCATGCTCCCAGAACCACACACCCTCACCACCCCCAACACTTTAATCACCTTTACAAAAGAAAATATACATACACACAAGAACACACTTATACAAAGAGGCAGGCATTTGGACACTTCTTCCAGATGCCAGCAGATGGGGTCAGGATGCTGCCCCCATAACTCCTTGACTGTTGTTCTGGTTCTTCCCTAACTGCCCAGAGACTCCATTTTCATGTTGGGGAACTGGAGGTGAGAATAACATCGCCAAACTTACAGAGTACCTGAGGGACTTAAGCAGGGTTTACACTGAACATGAAAGTATTCTGCAAATTGTTAAGCGTGAGCCGAGGAATTATTACCGCCCACCCCCCCACCCCCCAAACAGAAGACAATTCGAGTTTCAAAAGGACTTCAGGAAGATGGTGAAAGCTAGCTTAGTGGCACAGACTGCTTGTAACGAGGCTGACGGTGCCGTGGAGGGCTCCTTTTGGGGGTAGGGAGGGCCCTTCCCAGCCGGGTCACCACGGCCAGCCAGCTAGCACCCTGGAGGCCCCCAAACACCCCACAAAACACCTCGTTGACCTGTGACTGTGCACTTGTGTCAGCAGAGCAGCTGAGCAGCCTCCACTCTCACTGCAGGGTCCTCTCCACCTGCAGGGAGGAGGTAGGGAGGTGACCTGGCCTGCTCCCCAGCCCTCCCCCAAAGTCAGTGGTGGCTCCCTACCCCCTCCACCTGGCTCCTGGATGGCGGGAGGGAGCGAGGGATGGGGCCATGCTGGAGACAGACAGCGCTCACCCACCACCCTGCCTCCATCTTTGGTTCTCAGGCATCTTAGCCTTGCTTGGGAGCACCTGGGGCTTCCTCTCCCCAACCCGCCCATCCCACAATCACCTGGGGCTTTTTGGCAAGATTCCTGATTCCTGGCTGTGGGGAGAAAAAGAACACAAAACCAGAGATTAGGTGGGTGGTAGGCAGAGGTGGGGTCCTGGGTCCCCACCTTCCATTCCCTCTCCCCCTCTGGGGCCTTTCCAAGGTCAGACCTAGGGGTCTTCCCTGGCTGTGGGATCCGCAGGGTCCTCAGGACGATATATGGCTATGTGGGGGGATGCTTGGGCTTTTCCATAGATGGGGGCAGGGGCTCAAGAGTAGTTGCTGCTCCCCAGGAGGGAATCGTTCTGGTGGAAGGATGGGAGCAGAGCATTTCTCCCTACAGGGCTTGGCCAGCTGTGAGGGCCTCCCGCCCCTGTTTTTCTTCCCTGCCTACCTTGAGAGTACTGCTGGATGAAGATCAACACTCCAGCCACTGGCAGGAAAGTGATGGTGAAGATGGTGGAGATAAGCAGAGCACTGGTTATCCATGGATGAGAGGGGGCTTCTGCGGAAGGCAGAGGAAAGGGGGCACCAGCCTCAGGCCATGGCACTATCTCTGGGTCCCCTGGCACCCTCCCCTGCTCCTCCTCGTCCTCTCTGCCAAACCCAGCTCCTCACCCCACGCCACAGTGAGAATATGGTTCAGGCCAGAGTGCTGCACATGGCAAGTGTACCGGTCCTCCATCCCGGCTGGCACCCGCACCGCCGCCCACGTCTGGTAGGTGCCATCTCCACTGGGGCGTGTCTCCACATACTCAGTCTCTAGAACCAGCTCCTCCTCACCCAGCCACCAGCTCAGTGAGATGTCCCGTGGGTAGAAGCCCTGCGCCCAGCATTTCAGTGTGATGCCCCCGTCCTGGGCTGTGTGTCTTGTCACCTGCACTGTGGGCGGCTCTGCAGAGAGAGGTTGAGGGTGGAAGGCTGGTGAGAGGCTGCTCTCTGCCCATTTCCTTGTGTTTGATCATGGGCTCCCCTAGCATCTTCCAGGGTGGAGATGGAGACAAGGTCTCTCTCCAGGTAAGGCATTCAACCAATGTTTGAGGAAGGGATGACCCATTGCCAACCATCCCAAAGGGGCACAATCCTGTGACTTCCTGCCCCCAATCTCCAGGGAGGTCCTGGGTGGGACTGCTGGGTCCTATGTTGACAACCCCCTCCTTCCCACAGAAACCCTATGGTTTTTGTTTTGTTTTGTTTTGTTTTTAAGATTTTATTTATTTATTTGACAGAGAGAGACATAGCGAGAGAGGGAACACAAGCAGGGGGAGTGGGAGAGGGAGAAGCAGGCTTCCCACTGAGCAGGGAGCCCGATGCGGGGCTCGATCCCAGCACCCTGGGATCATGACCTGAGCCAAAGGCAGATGCTTAATGACTGAGCCACCCAGGTGCCCTGAAACCCTATGGTTTTCTCAGAGACTTTACATACGTCCCCCATGACTTCTTGCACATGGTAGGTGCCTAATGAGGTTGAGTGAAGGCAAGAATAATGGTTCTTCCCTCACTTTGGAAGGAGGTGGTCACGAGTGTAGCTCTGGAATCAGACAGCCTGGAATTAAAGCCTAGCCTGACTCCTGTCCACAATCCCCCAGTCCCTCAGGGCCTGATGGGGATTCTTTGTTCTTTTCTCTCAGGGTTGTCCCAAATGACATCATCCAGGTGTGACGGTTCATTTTATGTGTCAACTTTACTGGGCCACATGGTGCCTAGCCATTTGGTCAGTCACTACTCTGGGTGAGATTCACATTTGAATCAGTAGATGCAGTAAAGCAGATTGCTCTCCCCAATGTGAGTGGGCCCCACGCAATCACTTGAGGATCAGAACAGGACAAAAAGTCCCAGTCTTAAGAGGGAACTCCTCTGCCTGATCTCTTGCAGCTGGGGCATCAGTCTTTTCCTGTCTATGGACTCAAACGGAAACATTGGCTCTCCTGGGTCTCCAGCTTGCCAACTGCAAATCTTGGAACTCCCGATCCTCCACAGTCACGCGAGCTAATTCCTTAAATATGTCTCTTTCTCTCTCTCTCTCTCCACATCCTGTTGGTTCTGTTTCTGTGGAGATTTCTGACTAATCCACCAGGTGATAGGTGTATAATATCTCCTGGTGCTGGATGAGAGCTCAACATTCATTTAAGACACCAGTATGGTGCTTCTGGGAGGCAGGGGCTATTGTGACCATCCCTGTAATAATGACAAGGACACTGAGGCACAGAAAGGGCAAGTGACTTGCCCAAGGTCCACAGCCAGCAAGTCCTGGAGCCAGGATGTAGATCTGGAGGCTAGGCTCCAGTGCCTGAGCTCTGACCCACCACACTCTGCTCTCATAAACACATCTCTTGATGTTATTTGCCCTGCTTTCCCTTCAAGGAATGTCCTCCCCCATTGCCTCAGCTGATTCACATCCTGCCACTCAATCACCAGACGTCCATGGTGTGTTGGGTGCTCTGACCAGCCCGACCCACTAGCAGCCAGCGAGACCTCTGCCGCAGCACCCCCAAGCACCCACCTTCCCTAGTGTCCATCCCAGTCCTTGTATTTCCAGCCCTGCTGGCTGGAGTCAGGAGAAGTATAGGATCCACCTAGAATCTGAGGAGCATGTTTAGCATGAGGGGTGTGTGGGGGCAGAGGGGCAAAGGGCCTCAGCTTCCCTGGCAGTCCCCAGTAGTCCAGGGACTGGCCTAGTGAGGGATGCTATCCCCTGGGGCCTGAATTCCATTTCTGAAGGAGAATCACAGGATGTTAAACCCCCAAAGGGCCTTATGAGCCACCTAGTTTAACCTACTCTGTGGATGAATAAAATGAGGCAAAGAATCAGGGCCTCATTTACCAAGACCACAGTGTGGTCCACCTCACCTGGAATGAGGGCCCGAGGTCGAGGCTTCTGTCCTGCTCTACATGAGGAAGCCCTTGGCTAGTCGGCCTTCTTTCTGGGGCTCAGTGGGCTTATCTGAGCCAGGGGAACACAGTCTGCCTCCTCACCGCCCCTCCCCCCAGACTCTTGAGCACGGGAGTATGGGCCCCTCTGTGTGGCCACAGGCTGCACCTTACCTTTCCGGGTGAGGCTCTGGCCTCCCAGCTCCAGGTACCTGCACAGGGAAATGAGGCAGAGGCCTTCCAGGTAGGCCTTGTCATACTCAGCATAGCAGCGCTCCATCTCCCACCAGCTCTTGGTCCGCATGGCTGCAGGTTTGGCTGACACCCAGCTCAGAGTCTCCAGGTCCAGGGACAGGTGGTCCTGCCCGTCAAAGCCAAACTGCCAGAAGCTGCTGGTAGAGCCGTCCTCCCTGATCTCACAGCCGAACATCCGCTGAGTGCTGTGCATGCCTGTGCATGTGGGCGAGAAGGCTGCAGTTTGCATGGGCTATGGGGTGGATCCCTGAGAGCCGGAGAGAAGCCCAGCACCCTTGGGTGTCTCCAAAGGGTGGGGGGCAGGGTGGCGGCATTTAAAAAAACAAATGCTCCCCGGGTAATTGTCATGAGCAGCCAGGGCTGAGAAGCCTGTTGGGCCTCTCACGGGAGGACACTTGAGTTCATCACTAGAGACATCATAAGAACTCAGCTACTTATGGATGGAAGAGGTCCTCATGGTAAGACTGGGCAAAATCAGAGATGTGAAAGACACGTTCAGATGTGAGCCTGGCTGCTAGCACAGCGACTGGGGACTGGGGGCGCTTATCCTGGGGCCCCTGGGCTAATGTGCAGCTCTCCCCAGTCTCGGGCTTTTATACCTACGGGATTTTATACCTACGTTTGGGTTTCCAGGCCCAGAGTGGGAAAGGGCTGTGAACAGGTGGTGTGTTCATGCAGCGCTGGCAGCAGCCAGCAGGGGGCGTGAGCTTGTCGCGGTGAGAGACGGAAGCTGGGGCCTGAGGGAAATGCTCCTCTTCCTCCTTGGCATTGGGTAGAGCAGAGGTCCTCAGCTAGGTTCTCTCTCCCACCCTGAGCTGTCTGCCTCGTTCAGGTTCATCTGGCTTCCCTCCCTGCATGGCAGAGTTGGTGTCTGAGAGCCTGGGGGTGGGTGTGAGGGAGGGAAAAGCCTCTGCCAGTCTGCTGGAGTCTGGAACCCTGGGTAGCTGAAGTGGAGGTGTTGTGGGGCCCGAGCTACTGTGGATGCTTGCTGTGCTGGCCCCATGGGCTGGCTACTGAAGCCACAACAAATTCTGCGGGCCCCCGCTTGCTGTGGGGATAGAGCTATGCACCAGGAGCATGCCTTGCACCCTCTTCCGGGCTCAGTAGGGTGGCCTCTGTCCCCTAATGGAAGGGCATGGCTGCCTAGAGGGTCTGCATGCACAGTGTGAAGGAAGGAAGAGGTGGGGCAATAGGAGCCTCTGACGCACCACTGCTCTGGTTGTGGTAGCCCATCACGGTCCACGTCTCCACCTGCTGCACCTTTGCCCAGGCTCTCTGCTTCTGGGTCTCTGTCTCCCAGTACTGGGCGCCCACGGTTGCCATCCACGGGGCCTGGGGCTTGGCCCTGTCCACACGACTGTCGTAATGGATGAAGGGCTGGTTGTCCACGTAGCCTATAGCCAGGAACTGGGGAAGGCCCGGGCCTGGCTCTGACAGGGCCAAGTAGTGGTAGTGGAGAGAGTGTGTCCCTGTGAAGACACAAAATAGTCAGGCTCACGTGCCAGGATTGGCACCGTGGGCTGGTGTGACTGATGGGGACGGCGGTGGAAACCTATCCAGAGTATTTGCCATCAGTAAGAGCAAGAACTGGGGATTTCAGTTAAAAATATAAGGGCATCCAAATAGTTTAAATAAAGAATCAGGCAATCAATCAGTCAAACATCGAGGCCAAAGTTCATGTGCTAAGACTTGTGGGCTTTATCTCTATTTCTAGGAAGTTTTCCACCCCCATTCCCCCCCCCGCCCCCACTCAGGGTTTACTTACTTATACTTTACACTCTTCTCTGTAAGTGTGATTATCTGGTTTCCCATCTCACAATTAAAAAGGTATGATAAAAAAAATTGGTTGTTTGGCAGTTTAATTTTTGTGGAATTATTCCTTCTCCAGAGATACCTGATAAAGCGGGGCCATCTTTCCTAGCTTGAACCATTGCTGCCAAGTTGGTGGCATCTTGACTCCATTCCCCGCTCCCTCCTGTTCCTACACCAGACATTGCTAGTCATCTCTTCTCTTTAAGTCCAAATGCTGCCTCAAGGTTTGTTCTCCACCATCTCTAGAAGCACCAGCTTATCCACTCAACTTGGTGCTGGAGATGAAATCTATTTAGCAGCTTGCCCTGACTCCAGCTATGAAAACAAGTGCTGTACCTTTAAAAAACCTACCCCACCTTTCTCAGAGGCTCACCCACAGCTCACTCCTTCATTTTCTTTCTTTCTTTCTCTCTTTCTTTCTTCATTTTTTCCAAATAGGCTCCACACTGTGGAGCCCAATGCTGGGCTTGAACTCATGACTCTGAGATCAAGACCTGAGCTGAATTCAGGGGTCTGATGCTTAACCGATTGAGCACCCAGGGGCCCCTCCCTTACTTCATTTTTTTTTTAAAAAAAGGTTTTGCTCAGGGCTCCTGGGTGGCTCAGTTGGTTAAGTGCTGCCTTCGGCTCAGGTCATGATTCCGGAGTCCAGGATCGAGCTCCACGTCACGCTCCCTGCTCAGCAGGGAGTCTGATTCTCCCTCTGCCCCTCACCCTGCTTGTGCTCTCTCATTCTCTCTCAAATAAATAAACAAAATAAAAAAGGTTTTACTCAAATGCTACTTTCTCAGCGAAGCCTTCCTTGCCCACTCTGTTAAATATTTACATTCCCAGCACTCCCCCTAGTGTTTTCTCTAGAGCATTACCACCATATAGAGAATACGCACTTTACCTGTTTCTCTTTTTTAGGATTTTCTTGTTAGAGAGAGAGAGAGAGCACAAGCAGGGGGAGCTGCAGGCAGAGGGAGAAGTAGGCTCCTGGATGAACAAGGAGCCCGATGCGGGACTCGATCCCAGGACGCTGACACTGGGATCGTGACCTGAGCCAAAGGCAGATGCATAACCCACTGAGCCATCCAGGTGTCCCTACCTGTTTCTCTTGTTAATAGTCTGTCTCTCCCCTGTAATGTCAGTTCCCCAAGGGCAGAGATTCTTGTAAGGATCCTTCTTTCCCAGCCTAGAACAGCTTCTGGCACACAGTGGATGCTCAACATTTGAATATTCAAATGTGAAAGGACTCAAGCGCATCTCCACCCTCACAGCTCCATTTAAGCTCCCTTGCAGCCACAGCAAACTGCCCCGGCCCTTTGTACCTGCAGTTCCTTCTGCCCCAGGCTGCTCCCTCTCTTCTCTCAGCCAATGTCCCTCATCCCTCAGGTTGCAGCTCAGGTGTCCTTTCCTCCAAGAAGCCCTCCTGCTTCCACCCTGACATCCCTCAGAGCAGTCTCTGTGCTCCCTGTGAAACTGTGGGCTCCATGGGGCGGGCAATACATCGGACTGTGTCACCACTGTTTCCACAGGTCTTGGGGAGAAAGAACGTCATGCTTGGCACACAGTGGATACCGCCGGCATTTATCGAGTTGGACAAAAAACAAGAGCATGAAAGGCAAGGATGATGATCACAGCTGTCATTTTTGGAGAGTGACTGCTCTGTGCCCTGCACCAGTCTAACTGCTTTTCATTCATTATCTCAGTTGGTCCTTAGTATAAACCTAAGACGTTGGTGTGATTGGCCCCATCCCACAGATGAGGGAACTGAGGAGCCCAGGGGAGGGCGAGTACAGTACCCAAAGCCATGCACTAGAAAGAGAGGAGCCCAGATTCTCTCCCCAGAGCCTGCTTTTTCTAAGCTTAGGAAAAGGACGAGGAGCTCTCTTCTTGCACTGGTGACACCTTACATGAGGTGAGAGGGATCAATGTTGAAAGTGAGTGAAGGGCTGACATCAGGCCTGGGCTGGTGTGGGCCTCTGGGGAAATGACGGACTCTCAGGGTGCTGTTTCCTTGCAAACCACTGAGTTAAGATTATTGGGGGTGCTCCTGGGCTGGGAGTTGTGAGCAGGCATGTAGACCTTGAAAGGAACAGAGGCTATGGCTTCTCTACGCTAAGGTGACTGACCACCTGCTCCTTGGCTCCTATCTGCAGCAGCTGTCTGTCCTGGGTGTGAGGGAGGGCAAAGAGCCTGTGTCCTTGGGTAGTTGCCTCCTGGGTGGTGGAGAAGCCATGCATGTTGTATGTTCTGTCCTGTCTCCTCCTCAGCTAAGGGCGCACAGTGTGGTAGGCTGAATTCTGGGCCCCTAACATATCCCTGGAGCCTATGAATGTTACCTTATATGGTAACAGGGATTTTGTAGATGTGATTAAATTAAGGATCTTGAGATGGGGAGATTATCCTGGATTGTCTAGGCAGGCCCTGAATGTGTCATTATGAAAGGGGACAGAGGACACTCCATGACTACCAGAGAAGGGGATGGGAAGATGGAACAAAGAGGCAGAAGGTGCCACGAGCCAAGGAATGCAGCTCTAGAAGCTGGAAAAGGCAAAGAAATGGGTTCTTCCTGAGAGCCCCCGTAGGGAACTGTCCCGCGGCACCTTAGTTTCAGCCCAGAGAAGCCCATTTTGGACTTCTGACCTCCAGAACTCTAAGAGAATAAAAGTATGCCGTCCTTAAGCTACCAAGTTGTGGTCCCCTTGTTACAGCAGCTATAGAGAACAAATACACATACTATGAGACCAAAGTCTGTTGTGTCTTGTGAGTTCAGTGAACAGTTCAAACCCAGGAGCCCTGGAGGTCCTGCTATCCTGAAACAGAGAGAAGGATGCACAGTCCAGGAAGAAGGATGTCCTCCGAAAGCTGTGCTTCAATGGCCAGTTACTTCTGGTTAAAAATGAAGGGAAGTCTATCCATGTCTTATTTTGTAAAGTTACAAAATAGTTCTAAAGCACTTAGGTGCTGGGCCCTGTCCTAAGCACTTTACGAAATTTTGGCTCTGTTAACCCTCATAACAATTTTACCGGGCAGGTATTATTGTGCCTATCTATGACCAGTGGGGAAACTGAGCCCCAAAGAGGCAAAATCACCTGCCAAGTAGCGGAAAGCAGGGCCACCCGGATTCTCAAGATGTCCCCTGGCCTGCACCTGCCCTTTAGTGAACCCACGAAGGGCTGACACTATATGGCTGGCTGGGGACACACGAGCAGCCCTCTCCCCATGGCATCTCCCCACTTTCTGCCCTCCACAGACACCACCCTGGACACGGTTTCAATGGGCTCAGCTCTGCCCAGCCTTGCCCATATGGCCAGGCGGGGCCCTCCCTGTGGCCCCATTCAGCAAGTACTTTCTGAGCACCTGCTGTTTATCTGGCCCTCTCGGAGGCCCTGAGGATGCTGGGAAAGCAGAAGAGCTACAAGTGCCTGCTCTTAGGAAGCTTCCATGAATGTAGGATAAGCAAGATAAATGAATAAAATGTATGACAGGCTGACCAGCAATAAGTTCTGAGGGGAAAAAAAAACAAAGCAGAGACATACAAAGTATTAGGGGTGGGGTTTAAAATTTTAGATAGAATGGACGGGGAAGCCCCCCTCCCCAAGGAAACTCCTGAATGAAGACCTAAAGGAGCCAGCTGTGTAAAGGTTTAGGAGAGAGCATTCCGGGTCTGCAGAAGGGAAAGCCAGTGGAAAGGTCCTGGGGCAGTAGTATTCTTCTGGTGTTCTGAGGCTTTTGCAATAACATGGGAGAAACATAAAATGGTGGTGTGACTCAGTAGCTGTAGGTGATAGCAGTAGGAGGTGAAAGAAGGGGTTGAATCCCAAATCCTTCCTAGGCTTGTCCAGATGGTGCCTGGAATGGCCTGGATACAGCCTCTGGGCTACCCCTCCCTGCCATGGGAGCTCTGGTTTCTGGCATCGGCTCTGCCTTGGACTTTTTCACCCATGGTCTACAGCCTGGCATCTAGTGCCCATCCTGGGAGTTGGAACTATTCAAAGACAAGTTCATGATTGTGGCCCCGTCATTCAGCTGGCTTCCAGCTACTGCCTCCCACATACCCAGTGAGGGACCACCATCCCTGAAAATCCCACTGCTGTCTACTCTGCCTACTAGACAGTCCTGGGAGCCCAGCCTGCTCTCTGTGGGGGCTCACAGGCTGCCCACACTTGTCTTTTTGCTCCAGGAGGACAGTTTGAGCTGGGACTAGACTCCTCCTTGCTAACTGGATCCAGGAGGGATCCTCATGCCTGGGGCTCCAGCCCAGAGTGAGGAAGCATCAGGCTACCTCTGTAGTTTTGGAGGAAACACCCCTGCCAGCCTGCGGTCAGTGCCAGGCATGGTGAGACCACAGCAGGAGGAAGTGGGGGCCATATGGCAGATGTCCCAGAGGAATCTGCTCATGCTGTGACATGGCCTAAGTGGCCACATGCCCTTTGCTGCCTCAGGCCCCGTGTCATCAGCCACCCTTTCTTCCCTCACTGCTGCGTCCTGGTCACTGGGCCACATCTCCAGCCCCGCAAAAAGGGGCAGTCCTGCCCTCTTATGCACAGCCTCCCTCTTTCTCTGACTGGTGGGAGAGGGAGGTGCCCCACCCCTTTCCTACAATCCATGTGGCATTGCCACTGTCTAGCTGTGTGGCCTTGTTCCACAGCTCCAGGCTTTGATTTCTTCATCTGTAGGTGAGGGCACTTGCTTGACCTGGTCCACAGTGCTGGAGCATTCGGCGAGGTAATAAACATAAAGAAGTGTAGGCATGAAGGAAGGGTTCTGCAGACATCATTTGCTTAGCCTATCTGGAAGGGAGAGGTGGGCACGGGGAAAAGAGAGCTGGAGCGTGTGTGTTGGGGGGGTGAGGGTGGGGAAAGATACTTGAGTGAAGAAGCCCCCTGGGGCACCCTCCAGAGGGTCTGGTCTCTGTGTCCTCCACCTGAGCAAAGGCAGTCTACCAGATTCCCAGACTGTGGAGGTGCCCTCCTGCATGCTGGGGGCTCCTGGCCTCTGCCATCTTGCCCCCTTTTTCAGCAGGTAGGCAGTGCCTTACCTCCAGGCCATGGCTTGTTTTCTAACTTCAGGTCGGCTAGTTCTGCCATCACCACCTTCGCTAAGGAAGCCGGGCTATCGGCCACCACAGGCAGCCCCCAGGGACTCTCTGCAAAGGGGAAATGGAAAAGGGAAATATGAATCCCAAGGCATAAATACCCTACACATCCTTGTCTCTGCTTAGAGGGATGGTATGAAATGACAAAGAGAGGCATATTGGAAGGGAAGAGGGACGTGGGAGCCTTCTCTCAGGATTGCCTGGAAACTTCTTTAGCACAGAGGTGTAAAACCAACAGCGCTGAGTTCTGGGTCTTGGTGCCAGAGCTTTAGAAATATTGATTCATGGCATTTTTACTGCATTCCTGTGAGGTAGGCCCTGACTCTTCCCACTTAAGAGGGAAGCCAGGACTGGGTTGCCTCTCCCTCTGCCAGAGGTTCTCCAGCTCCAGCCCCTCCTGGCAGCTTTGACACTTCTGCTATTGATAAATTTAGTTGGTTTGGAGGGAAGAGGAGAGGACACTAGCAGGCATTGAAACCTCCCAGGTGATGCTTATATGCTACCAGGTGGAGAACCCATACCCTCGTGGTTCTGCCTGGTCCTGCCCAGCTCTGTCCACTTGCTCAGCTGTGCCCTTGCAATATTACCCACTTGGCAAACAGCTGTTGAGCACCTACTACTAGCCAGGCACTGAGCCACGTGGGGGTGTATGTGGGGACAGAGATAAACCAAGACGGTCATGGGCCTGAAAAAGCTCAGGTCTGACAGGGAGGATGCAACTGAACAAATAAATAAGTAGGTCCAATAAGGTGAGTGGGGCTGATGAGTGCTGTGGTGCAGGAAGTCCCAGGCATCAGAAACACACCGGGGTGGGAAGGTGTTGGGGTCAGAGGCCTTATAGGCTGAAACCTGAAGGGGACCTCACCAGCTGTGAGTTACGAGGCAGTGGGGTGGGTAAGGAGGGAAGAACATTCTAAGCTAGTGCATCTAGTGTGGTTCCAGGACCAGCTGCATCAGCATCACCTGGGAACTTGCTAGGAATGCAAATTCGCAGGACCCAACCTAGCCCTACTGAATCCGAAGCTCTGGGGGTGGGGTCCAGCTTTCTGTAGTTCAACAAGTCCTCTGGGTGATTCTAAAGTTTGAGCCACTTCAAACTTCCCTGCTGCAGCACTCATGATATCTGCCCCATGAAAGCCACTTCCTCACTCCCTAGCTTCTGAAGGGAAAGCCTGGCATCCAGGAGTATTGTGAGGGGCCTGCCCCAAACCCCTGGCTACCTCCCTTCCATGTGCCATCTCTCTCCTGCAGTTGGGTACATCCCAGGGTTATCTCTCCACTCCTTCCCTCCTCCTTGGCTTGGGGTCCCCACTCCCTAGGTCAGCCCCAGCCATTCCCTCCATAAGGAGACAGGGCCTATGTGCAAACACCCATGACTATCCCGCCACACAGAATTGGAATCACCTGTATGCCCCTATATTATGCCCAGGGAGGGTTGGGGGGACTGTATGAACCTGAAAACCAATACAGTCTTGGCCCAGAGACACAGTGGCCCATGCCCCATGGGGTCCTGTCCCAAGGACCAAACTCTCCCCCAATCTTTCCAGACATCCAAGGTGATTCTCCTTCAAATGTTTTCCATGGGGCGCTGAGGGCTGAATTCTCCTGAAGGTCCATCCTGTTGACTTCAGGAGCCTCAATTTGGAGGGAAAAAAGAACCTCTTTACTTTCACTAAGGCTGAAATCTAGCCTTTCTCCTATGGTGAAGGCAACAAAGCTCAGCAGGATTAGCAGAACCCCTGCTTTGGATTTGGAAAGAAGCCACAAGTGCTTTTGTGGTGACAGTTGGTGCAGACACCTGGACATATGCTTTATTCTAATTCCCAATTCTGGGAATTGTTGCTATTTGGTGCATTATTTAATGTGTTAACTTAGAAGCACACATACTACATCTCACACATTTATATTTCTAGTTAAAAAGTTTTAGTAGCTTTATAGAAACGTAACTAGATTCCTTTGTAATCCTATGTATTTCTATTTATGTTTGTTTATTTAGAGAGCACGCTAGCGCGGGAGGGGCAGAGAGAGAGCGAGAGTGAGAATCTTAAGCAGGCTCCACCTCACACTCAGCGGGGAGCCTTCCGCGGGGGCTCCACCTCATGACCTGAACCGAAATCAAGAGTCCGAAGCTTAACCCACTGAACAACCCAGACGCCCCTCCTCCCCCCAAATGTATTTCATCTCTTGCATTAAAAACATTCTGAGACCGGGTTCAAGGCATAAAAAAGGCTAAGAACTCCGACTTTAGATCCTGCCAGGAAGCGTCCTCTCCGCGCCCTAGTTTAAATCTGTAAATAGTAAATCGAGGATTGTTCTGTGAGTTGAAATGGCTTCTTGTATGTGAAGCACTTAGAACAGCCTGGAGCGAGGGTGACCAGCCACTGTTAACTGCTGTGACGGTGGACACTTCCGCATGTGTGCTAAGTGTTCCGGCATCTGTGTGGCCGGGAGGGGCTGTGCTCCATGGCAGCGGGCGGGGGGAATCCAGGAGGAGGTCAGGCTCAGGTACCAATGCCAGAAGAATTAAAACTGGGAAAGAATGGAAATTCCGGGCCAAGTCAGAGAAATCCTCGTTGCACCTCCTCCCCCAACACCCACCGTAACTCGGGAGAGCCTCGCCACGCCTCCAGGGACGCCCCCCATGAAGGGCGGGCGCTGCCCGAGCTAGCCGGCAGGGGACGCGCCAGCCCTCTCAGATTTCTGCCCCCACAGAGCTTCCCTAAGGACCTTCCTGGAGGACCCAGCCCCAGGAACCGAAAGGCGTCCTACGGAGGGGGGGCCACGGGGACCCCGAGGAGCTACGGCATCGGCTGCGTCCAGGCCGGGGTCACCGCCAGCCCTCCGCGTCCCGCCGGCTTCCCGCAGGACTCTAAGCCAGATCCGGGTGCCACAGTGGAGGCCGCAAACGGGGGCTCTAACCCAGGGCTCAACGCCACCTGCGGTCCTGGGTCTGCTCCCCAGCTCACCATCCCCGGTCCCCAAACCCGGAAGTGGCCTCCGATCGCTCCCTGCCTCCCTTTAGCCCCAACCACGCGCTGGCGGGCGGCCCCTGGGGTTCTGCCCC